TTTCTCTGACAGTCTAGTGTAGTCCAGGCATTAGGGAGAAGATCTGGAGTAATGGGTATAAGCCCTGCCCATCCCCTTTTGGCCACTGCCATTAATAGGCTCTCAACACTGAAGTCTCTCACCTAGACCATGATAACTGCAGGCAGCTGGTCCACCTACCTGCCTTCATCTAATCTACTCTTCCTAGTAGTACCAGGTATCTTTCTAAAATAGAGGTACCCTCCCTGGCAACAGCCCTCGACCAAAGCCTTCCGCAGCCTGTCTCTGGTCTACCTTTCTAGCTTTCCGAAACCATTCCCAGAGTAGCCTATGCCCCTTCAGACTTCTTACTGTTATTTTCTCTTTTTAGCTCCCTCAGTGAAAATACGTTCTCATAGATTAATATAATTATACCCTCACCCCCCCCCCTGAATTTTGGATTCTGTATTAGCCTAAGAGATCCATAATCACTTTAATGAGTTCTCCTTTATCCCAAGTCCTCACAGCCTACGAATATAGCCTCTAGGTCAATGTGACCAAAGCATGGTCCTTGTACCACCTGCATTCTTGTGACCAAATGTGCAAGCTAAAAATTCAGATTGCTGGGTCCGACCCTGGGCCTCCTGATTCAGGATCTCTGAGGATGCAGCATGAGTATCTGCATTACTAACAAGCTTCTGAGGGCTGCAGGACATAAGCAGCCTTAAAAATCTTCATTCTAGAAATTCTTCAATGAGCTTGGTGGGGGGGCCACTCCAAGAATTTTGTGGATTGTCCACATCTCTTATGAGCTCTAAGAATGACTAGACTTCAAACATCACAGAAGGTGAACAGTGAAATGTACTTGTAGTTCATGCAGTTCTCTTGTTGAGAATCAGAAAGGTAAATGGAAGCTTACGGGATTCAAAGGAGTTAGAAAGCAAGGAACTGAATCTGGCCCTGATCTGTTATCATTTGGCGAAAAGGTACATATTTGAGATTAGGAGAAACTATTCCGTTTAAGACCTGAATCTGACCTTCCTCCAGCTCCTTTTCATCTTTCACACAGAACATGCTATTTATAAACACAGGACTAAATGGGAAACTAAAATTAAAAAAAACTAAAAATAAACTAAAATGACTAAGAATCTGCTCGATGTCAGGCATCCTGCTAGGTGCTTCCCACATAGTTCTCACTTAATTAGCCCCCTCTGACGTTACTTTATCTGTCCCCATTTTGCAGAAGAGGAAATTTAGAGCATGAGAGATGTAATCTACCTAACTAGATTAAATAAGGAGTCAGGTATATGGGTTAAGTTAGACAAGTAAACAGCTATTAAGGGAACTGCTGGTTTCAAATTCCAGTTCCACCATTCACTAGTTGTATGCTCCTTGGGGAAACTCACTTAACTTCTCAGAGTCTCAACAGCGTCAGGGACAAAACAAAGGACACACATCATCTTCCTCACAAGGGACTGAGGACTGGCAATGACAGCAGGTCCCTACAGCACTTGGCACAATGTCTGGCCCTCAGTCAGTGTCAGCCACCCTTCCCTACCTCTCTGTTCCTTTCCAGCCATGGCTTTTTTTGTTTGTTTGTTTTGGTAAATGTTTATGAAGGAGCCTGTTTGCTCAGAAGCCTGAAAAGGCCTGTTACGTTAAACCATTTCAACAGATGCCCAGAAACACTGTTCATTGGCGCTCACAGACAGTAGCTGCTTCCTTCACCCTGAGGGTTTGTTCCAGAAAAAGGAATTCCCATCAACCTCTGGCTTCTTTCCAGCTCCAAAGAGGCTGTGATGTGAGCAGCAGGGAAAAGCAGCCCCTTTGGGACATGCTTTCAGCTTCCAGCTGGCAGGGGGAACGACAGGAAGTCCCCACATTACTTCTGCCAGGAACCACAGCAACTCTCCACCTTTCCACCGCTGGGCTGTCCCCGATCAGGCTGGGGAGCCCAGGGCATGGCCGCGTGGCTGCCACATCTTCTCAGCAGCCTTGCCACAATTGTTTGCCAACTTCCTGTGAGCTGTAACAAGAAGGATCACTCAGCCCGGAAGACAGAATGCCTGTTTTTGGAATAAGTTCTCTGATGATCATAAAATCATATCATGATTTTGTTGCAGGTAGTGAGTATCAGTGACTCCAGTAGCAATCATGAATGGTTTTGGCTAATAACCTTTTTTTTTCCCCCTTCTGTGAGCATTTACTCTTGAGGGGAAAGAGGGGCATTTATCAGAGTGTTATGATTTGCTCTCCTAGACTGGCTGTAGTTTCATTTCATCTTTGCGTTCTAGGCTAAAAGCCAAAAAGATGACAGAAGTGTCGCCCCGAGTCAGATTCACTGTCTCTCCATCCTGGTCATTTGCCTTGGACAGTGGCCACAGAACACAAGCAGCGACAAAAGTTCTTGGTGTTAGTCAACCTCCTTGGCCTCTTAATAACCATGTAGACGTGAACCTAGACCTTTTTTTTTTCTAACCCACCTTTTTCTTACTAGTTTTCTTACATATTTTAGAATGAAGATTTCCCTGTGGTACTGCCCACCTTGGGAAACACTCATTACATTTATTGATCCTAAATTGATTTCTGACTCTAGGATTTGGGGATCGGGTGCCTATACCCCCTTTCTTCCCACTCACGTTGTTCACGGCTATATGCTTTCTGCTCCCACTGCTTCTCATTGCCTTGGTCTTCAGAAGCAGAAGTTTGACCAGCTTCTATTTGCCAAAATGAGGAAGTCTGGCAGCCTCTGTTCCTACCCAGCTTCCTCTACCACCTCGACTATGAACATACATGCTGTTGTGGGAAAGCGTTCATTACACCAACAAAGCAACAGTAAGGAAAAAAAACAACAGAAGCCCGGGAGGATGACTGTAACACAGGACGACTTGCACCTGCTTAACAGTACCTGCTGCTGAACCCACCTAAACAGGAGGGACCTAGCATCTCAGCAGGATGGGCTTGGAGTCGGAATTAAATAACAGCAGAAGGAAGAAACCAAAAGTCTGGTTGTCAGAGCTTCCTGGATTCTCCGCAACATTTCCCATCCTTACCTTTGCTCCTACACTGTCTATTTTTACCAATATATAAAACCAGTGTAAATAATAAATGTCGCTTATGGAAACCTTTTGTCTTAAATACTTTAAGGTCTTCCCTGAGGAAAGAAAGGTGCCTTATGTTTATTAACTACATGTATTTTTTTTTACAACAAATAAAACAATAGCACTTATTTTTATTGTTCACAATTACTGAAATAATTCACTCTAATTGGAATTCTTATATATGAGAACCTCCACAGACTTACAACTCCCATGGCATTTTTATAGAGTGTGCAGGTCATCAATATGTTGTCTAAGATGGGCAAAAGAAGTCACAGAGATATGAAGTGAGTTCAAATCCCATCATGAGTCAAGGGCAACGGCATGAGTTCCAGGACTGGATCTGGGCTCCCGTGCACTTGACACAACCCTCACCTTCAAAGATGACATTCTCTGAAGTCCATGGTACAAAAGATCAGGGTGATGCTCATTTTAAAAGCAACTTTTTTTTTTAATGTCATTTAATGATTCCACAGACTTCATGGTGTCAAGTCAGGTGAAGTTTAATTACACTTACCTATTTCCAAAAATTTCTACTTTTTTTTTAAGCTGAGCCACCCTGCCACCTGTTGGCAGCTCAGCAGCAGCTCAGCTTGGGCTAGGCATTGAACCACTGTTGCTCAGAACTCGCAGTGAGCTCTTAACCAACTGAGCCACTCGGCCTGCCCCCCAGTTTCTACTTTTTTAAAATGGCTAATCAAGACTTATAAAATTGCAGATTGTTTCCTAACTCTGGAAGACGTGGTAGTGCAGTTCCTCCAACCATGAGGTATTCAGACACAGCAAAGATAATGTCCTAGTTTTGCCAGAATACAGCAGGATGACTAAACAAATTACAGAAGAACGCAGCTTTCTCACTCTAGGAAAAGTCTACTGGGAACTCTAATTCCCACAATGTTTCTGCCTCCAGGAAGGGCAGCCTAAGACTTGCTTTCTGCCTGACTCCTTATTGGCCAGTGGAGTCCTCGTGGGGTCCTATACTCGGACACATTAGGAATTAATTGATGATGGATCCAAACTGTTGCTGATGTGCATTGGAGCCCATGGTCTACTGGCCTCTGGTTTCAGAACCATTCAGTCAGCCAGATATGTAATTTTTGGTGAGGCAGGGGAAAGGAGGCCCCTCGGGTTGCTATGAAGCAACATATATTCCAAATTCATTTTACTGGGGTTTTAATATATGTTACTTTACAACTATATAGTGCTTGGCAATTTTCCAATTTCCATTTGATGCTCAAAATAGTTTCAGGAGGTAGCTGTTGTTATCTACATTTTTACAGATGAGAAACAGGTTTAGAGAGGTTACATTGCTTAGATCCAGGTCCGCTTGATTCCAAGGCTTATGCTCCTCTTCTTTTTAACTTTTCTTTTGAAGTAATTATAGATTCACATGAGGTTGCAAAGACACACAGAGAAGTCCCCATGTACCTTTCCCCCAGCATCCTCCAATGTCAACATCTTACACAGAGTATAATACTAAAACCAAGAAAATGACATTGGCACAATCCACAGAGCTTATTCAAAATTCACCAGTTACACATGCACTGTGTGTGTGTGTGTGTGTGTGTGTGTGTGTGTGTGTGTGTGTGTAGCTCTATGCAATTTTGTCATGTGCTTTTTAAACATAAACTACCCACTGTTCTACAATCTTAAATATGAAGTCAGATTACAGGAATGAATAAAATGATTTCCTTCAATAAAACAGTATCTACTAACACATACATGACAGTTTTTCATAGCTAGTTTCAATTAAGAAGAAAGATAAGGAAGAAATCCCACAAACCTCCGCTCTTGGGAGCACTAGTCTTTGCGAAGTGCCTTTATGGGCACGTCTTCTGAAGGTGATGATAGGTGTGAAACAGGGGAACTTGATTTATTGAGAATTAGGGCAGCAACAGTCTCTCATATCAGAAACTTCTATCAGTAAAACAAAGGTGATCCTACCTTGCCTTCACATTTAGTCTTGTCATCTTCCTTTTCCAGGGAGTTCACATCTGTCTCCACAGAAGCATCCTCAGGTGTTTTCTGAAGAGGGCCTAGAGGGACAAAGAAAACCAGCCATTCATTTGGTGATTTGGCTTATAGATAATTCAGAGTGCTTCACTCAACTTGGACAAGCAGCTGGATTGTGCTGAGGTTGTTGAGCTAAATTGAGTTGCTGTGGTGATAGCCAAGGTTGTAGATGTAATTGGGGGTGAAGGGGAGCCGCAGAAATGAAAGAGTCCTTGACCCCAGGCACTTGACATTTGATCCGAAGAGACAAAAGTCATATCCAACACCACATGAAACATCAAAACACAAAAAATCAGTAAACGTAACGTGATAAAAATAATAGAGTTTCCAGCATTCCCATTTTTAATGCCCAGCTAAACGGTCACTTTCCAAAGGGTCACTTTCTTCATGAAGTTTACTCTATATTGCACTTGATGTTATTCCTGGACTAGAAAGAAGACCAGATTCAATTCTAGGTACCACATTCTACTGAACATTTTTTCCCCATTATACAGGTAATTTATTTGTGCTTATTACAGGAAATCTGAAAAATACTAAAATCTTACTACTTAAATACAACCACTTGGTATATTTCCTTGCAGTCTTTGAAATGTGTGCGCTCTTTCTCTCTCTCTCTCTCTCTCTCTCTCTCTCTCTCTCTCTCTCCACACACACACACACACACACACACACACACACACACACTTATACTACGATTATATAAGGGGGTATCCATGTATGCCTTAGTCAGAAGGAATTATTGCTAATTTGAGGATCTAACAGTTGGATTCTAGAACTGATGGAACCACATTTATTAGTGGATGATGTGACTGTGGGAAGAATCAGTTGGCTGCATCAGGAGGGAACTGGGCTTTCTTGCTCTTGTTATCCTCTTTCCGTCACTCTGTCTCCCTGCTCCCCTTCCCACAGGATTCTCAGACACCTGAGAGATATCCTTTCTTCAGGCTCCATGGCCATTGGCAATAAGATTGGGATTTGGGGAGGAGAAGCCCTGGTTAGGCCTTGAGGCTTTCTGACCCATAATCTAGCTTTACCAGAGGGCTACATTTGGGGTGATAGCTACAAGGCTAATAATTAAGTGGTACTTTGAGTTCTTATTTGTCACCATCACCACCCTTGTACATAGTTCCCTTGGGAAACTCACAATATACATGTGATTAACCTGACACAGGATTTAGCATTTCTAGGTCCCATGGCCAAAACGTCATCCATCAAATGCCATCAATACATCACCCTGAGTCTTATCTGTGGTGGCCTTGGTGGAGGTTGACCATCTAACTTCCAGAGATCCCTCATAACCCTCAGATTCTGTGAACCAACTGGAAGCAGCTTGGGCGTTTCCGTGGGTTTTTCATGGAGGTTATGTTGACATCTGTAGTGAAGTACATTGTTTGCTGTCTCAGGTTATGTGACCACTAAAGCTACTTTATAACAATGGATGATCCTTTGGGCCCCTCACTCTCTGCAGGATCTCTGTAAGCTGAGGGATTCCAGGTATAATAACTGGATGCAAGAAATGCATACACTGTAATTGGTGACACCTCTGACTGACAAGCACCTGCCCACAACAGTATTAAGTACAAAGCCAGAATTAAAGGCGGGATGTGGAGCCATACTGCCAGCACTCAAGTCTTGCTCGTTCATGGATGAGACATACATTATAGACAAATCTCTGCATCTTAGCGTCTTCATCTGGAAAGTGGAGAATCATGAGAAAGCCTACAGGATAGGGTTACTATGAGGCTTTAATGAGTTAATATGTATAAAATTCTTAGATCATGGTAAGCTCTCAGTACATTTTAGCTGTTATTGTCGCCAGATGGCATTAAGAAGAATTTTTCACATTCCTTACAAACTTCAGACAGGCTAAATGTTGTACTCAAGACACAGAACTAACAAGAGTCAGAGCTGACATTCCAGCTACCATCTATAAGCTCCCTGCCCGTGTGAAACATAAGTTTATCTTGGCACAGACTCAGTTACTAAGGAATCAGACAAATGTGTTTGAAAATCCTGTTAGTGACCTGTCTGAGTCCACACTCAGTTGTTAGGCTCCAAAACAAAAGTATGGGATCGTTCTGCAGCGTGAGCTAGCTGCCGGACCACACTCGGTGATCTCTATTCAAACATGATGAAGATCTGTTTACCTTATGAAGGTCATTACCTAGTATGAAATTGTGCGTTTGAAAAGCCAAGAAACAATCCATAATTCCTGTTTTATTTACTTGTAACAAACATATATCCCTTAAAAGAAAGGCAAAGTCATAGACTTGAACGTTGTTTAGTTTTGGGTAAGTGCCCTAGATGAGAGGTCAGGAGAGCCACGTCCTGTTTTCCAGCCATCCAAGAAGGATTTCTCCATGTGTGCGACTGTTTCTGGATATCTGTGGTATGTGCACAAAAGTGTGTTTGAGCGTGCATGTATGTGTCTGTTGAGTGTGTGTGAGAGTGTGTGCGCATAGAAAAATTCAGGCTATAAATGCACTAAACTGTTACCAAGTCTTACTTCTAAAAAGTGGAATATATGATAAGAGACAGGGGACTGTAAATTGTGCGAAATGGAGAATTACCAAAAACCGCCCATAATCTTCAGGTAAATAACAACTGAAAGAATTTGTTGCAAATAGAGCTGCACAATAAGGAAAATTTTCAGCTTGAAGAAGTTAATTCAGATCTACAATAAAGAATAAAAGAATACCGGAAATGGTGACTAGAAGGATAAATATAAAATGATATATATTTTTTCTTTTCTATTCCTTTCTCTTAATTTCTTTAAAAGACATATGAAATAAAAGGAAAAAAATAAATAATAAAAGACATATGATTATTTAAAGTAAAAATTATAACACAATATTGGATGATTTAACATATGTCAATGCAACATTTATGATAAGAATGGCACAGGGGATGGGTGGGGGGCATGTAGAAGCATTCTGTTGCAAATTTCCTATAGTTTACATAAAGTGCTACAATATTAACTCAAAGTAGATTGTGATAAATTAAGGCTGCATGTGAAAATCCCTAGGAAAAACATCTGGGGGAAAAAATGCAAAGCGGTATGTATGCTAAAAAGACAATAGAGGAATCAAAACGGAACACAAAAACAATCTGCTAACCCAGAAGAAGGCAGGAAAGGAGGAACAGAAGAATAAAAAGAAATGAGATAAATAGACAACAAATAACAAAATGGTAGCTCTAAATCTAACTCTGTCAATAATCACATTGTCTGTAAATGGACTAAACACTCCAGTTACAAGACAGAGGTTAATGGAATGTATTAAAAAGGCAAGACCCAACTATATACTGCCTATAAGAAATATACTTTAAAAACAAAAACAGAAATAGAAGAATGGGAAAAGTATATCATGCAAACACTAAGCATAAGAAAGCTGGAATGGTTGTATTAATACCAGACAAAATAGACTTTAAGACAAAGAGTTTTACTAAAGAGAAGGAGGGGAGGACAATTTCCTAATTATAGAAGGGCCAGCATTTCTGGAAAATCAAACAATTATGAATATGCATGTGCTTAATAATGGAGTTTCAAAATACACGAAGCAACAAATAACACATACATCATGTCCAAGAGCAGTTAATCCCAAGAATGTATGATTATTTTAACTTTTGACAGTTAATCATTGTAATCCACCATATTAACAAAAAAAGAAGAAAACCATATTATCATCTCAATATACAGCACTAAAAAGAACATCTGAAAAATTCAACAATCATTCATGATGAAAAACTCTCATCAAGCTAGGAATAGAAGGGAATGTCCTCAATCTCATAAAAGCCATCTGTGAAAAAGTTAGTAACATCATACTTCAAGGTGAACTATGAACTCTTTCTCTTAACATTAGGAAAAGACAGGGATGTCTGCTCTCACCACTTCTATTCAACATTGTACTGGAGGTCCCAGCCATTAGAATAAAGCAAGGGAAAAAAAGCATAAAGATTGAAACAGAAGTAAAATTGTCCCTACTCACAGATGACATGATTATATTTCTATACAGAAATATATTCCTACTGAGAATTAGATATGGCAATTCTGTTTACTGTAGGGTTTAAAAAAACCATAAAATCTCTAAGACCTTTACCCTCAAAACTGGTATATTGCCAAGAGAAATTCAAGAGGACCTAAATAAATGGAGCATTATAATATTTATGAATTAGAAGACTCAATACTGATAAAATAACAGCTCTCCCAAACTGATCTATATATTCAGTGCAATCTCAATCATAATCCCAGCAGAAATCAAAAGGTGATTCTAAAATTTATATAGAAATGCAAAGGACCTAAAATAGCCAAAACAATCTTGAAAAAGAACGTTGGAAGACCTACACTAATTGATCTCAAGGCCTAGTAATAAACTATAGTAGTCAAGGCCATGTGGCATTGGTGTAAGGACTTACCTATTATATATTTTAAATCTTTTCATTAATCTTTTCAAAGAACCAACTTTACCACTCAAGTGCTTAGCATCTGGTGGGACTTTTAAAAGTCCTTACTAGAGTCTATTTTATGCTAATAGTATTTGTGCATTTATATTATTCCTCTGCTGGATTGTGAGCATCTCTTTGCATCAGGCACTCAGTTTTATCGAACTTTGTCAGTCTTCAATGCCTGTACTATTTCATATCTATGGTTTGTTTTAAATAATGTCTGTCAAAACAACAATCATTACGCATTTTAAACAACCACAATCTTCATTTTCATGGGGACTGATGAAACAGAAAGCCAGACTTTTTTCCTTAAATCACCTACCCAAGGCGGAGGGCTGGCTGGTCTTCCATGACACCCATTTTGGGGAGGGTTCAGGATGGGGGGCCACAGGTTGCACTGGGCGAGTCTGTCTGGCTGCCAGTTTCATCAGGCTCATTTGCCTCTTGTGAAATATTTCCTGTACATCACCCAGCTTGTGCAGGACTTTCTGGGCTTTGGCCTGCAGGAACAAAAGTAAATCATGAGCAGATCACTTAGCACTGGGCCTGAGGACATAACACATTCCCTTCCAACCATCCTCCCCTCTCCCCCTACCCCACAACCTCCCTTGGGTGATCCTTCTCTGGGCATCCACATACAAGTCATCACATGTCCCACGTTGCACCAGAATTGTGCTTCTAAGAGTCTGCATCTCCCACTTGAGTGGCAATGATTGTATCATTTTCACTAATGTCTCGCCAGTGCTGGGAATACTGCCTAGCACAGAGTAGTGCTCAGTAAATCTATATTGAGCAGATACATATTCACTAAGCCATGTCCATTAATTGTAGAAAAGGTTGCCACAGGGCATGGATGAAAGGCCTTAGGCCAACTTAAAAAATGACAGAATTTAAAAATAAGAAATGTACCCTGAATAAAGGCCCTGATGGAGAAAAGGGTTTAAGTGTTCTGGGGAAAGAGTTGGCTAAATTCTGAAGCAGGATCAAGGAAACCACAAGCACCTGTAATAAAAAGGATACACATTTATTTTGTGTGATTTCTTCTCTATATACAAGTAGGAAAGAAATAAACTGAAGAAATATCAGGAAGAGATGAAATTCACAGATGTTCCCATAACTGACTATACGCTCTAAGGAAGAGGTTCCGAAGAATAAGAATCAAACTGAATGTTTTTGAGTTTCACCAAGGCCTGACTTCAGCTGAATCTGTTTCTTTCGGCCACGCTTCCAGCATGATGTTCCTCCAGCTCTGGTGGGTCAAGGGAAGTGGGTAGCCTCTTCTTCCTCAGGCTGATTCTGGCATCCGTCTTGTGGATGATTTTAACCACCAAAGAACAGACCCAGACTTAGAAGAGCTGAACCACCACAAATTATGCAGGATGCTGTGAGGATTACTAACTCTGAAAGTCTCACAGGCTCAGCACATACCCAGGAAAGGTGCCACATTTTGCAAGAAAAGTAAAATTGTCTTTTCTTTTTCTTTTTTTTTATGATTTGTTGAGGTGGAAGTTGTTATTTTGTTTGTTTGTTTGGTTGGTTTTTTTTTTTAAAGATTTTTATTGGGGTATTGGGGGGAAGGGAACAGTGCTAGAGAATTGGGGGAAGGGGAACAGACAAGTTGCTGTCGTTTTGTTCTTCAGTCTAGTTGTGAGGATGTTGCTTCACTGGCCCAAGCTGGCACCATCATTGTGCTCTTCCAGGCCGAGGCAGATCAGTCACCGGCTTCTGGACGGCCGCTCACGCTGGCTGCTGACTACACACGGTAGCCCATGGCAACCCACTGCCACAGGGGCTGCAGCCCACGCCGTCGCCGGCGACTCACAGCAGCCCAGCTCCAGGTTGAGCTGTTGTTCAGCATCTTAGCTGTGGAGGGCAGTGTCACTGGCCCTCATATGTGGGATGCAAACCGGGGCCCTCTGGCGTCCCAAGCCAGTTCTTAACCATCGCGCCACTCGGCCGGCCCAAAATTGTCTTTGCTTATGCAGGGCCATCTTCTGAGGGAAAGAGCCAATGTCCCAGAGGCAAACTGGAGTGTCAGCAATGGAAAACTATTCCCCTACAGCCTGAGGGTCCCGTCAAAGCTGCCCTCTGCACCAAGATCTGAGGCTTGTCTCACTCTTTGGAGGGTCTGCATACAGACCTGCACTGTCCATCCAGGAACCACTAGCTACACGAGGCTACTGAGCGCCTGAAATGTGGCTGGTCTGAAATGAGCTGTGCTGTGCTGTCCACATAATATGCACACTGGATTTTGAAGACTCAGCATGAAAAAAAGAACATAAAATATCTCATTAATAATTTTTTATATCAATTATATGTTAAAATGATATTTTGGACATAGGTTAAATAAAACATTAACATTGATTTCACTTATTTTCACTTTTCAAAATGTGGCTGCTAGAAAATCTTATTAGCTCACATATGCAACTTGCATTTTATTTCTATTGGACAGTGTGGGTCTAGATCAGCAGTTGGCCATCTTTTTCTGTAAAAGACCAAACAATAAATCTCAGGGTTTGCAGACCATCTGGTCTCTGCTATTGCAGCATAAAAGCAGTCATAGATAATATAGACATGAATGAGTGTGACTATGTCCAGATAAAACTTGAACTATATAAGCAAGCAGCTCTGGCCCGCAGGCTACAGTTTGCTGAGTGCCTAATCTAGATTACGCTTAGGGCCTATGTTTAAAGGGTCTCCTCAAAGAATGTTCCTCTGGCCTCAGGAAGCTCAGTTATACAGTGCACTAGAGGTTCTGATAACACAGCTATGAGTCCACATCCACCCCCAAAAAAACAAGTTCCCTGTGTCAGCATGATGGCAATGCTAGGTTGTATTTCTCGGGGGATGGTGAGAAATCTTGGTCACCAGCCACTACTACCTTGCCCTATCTGGCCCAGTGATGAGCTTGAGGAAATTGAGGTGTAGGTGTTCACTGCTGCACAGAAATAAGAAATCTGACTGAATGAATGGTTGCCAAATTGGTGATGTATAGTGTGCAGCCTTACTGTGAGGTCAGTGCCACACGCTAGAGCCCAACGGCTCATTTGGCCTGGACAGGACTCAAATCACCTTTGCCCTTCTGCATCTATCCCAGGATCCCAGAGTGAACCCTGGAAATGGTGAGGCAGTCAGGAGAGACCCTAAATTCCTAAGCTCAGACCAGGGGGAGGTTGATACAAGATTAAGAAGTGCATTCCCCCCCTTTCCTCTCTCCTTTTTTCACTTGCAAATCCATTCTCCACACCACAACTAGAATGATCTTTCTAAAATGTAAATCTGATCCTGTAACTTACCTGCTTAAAAGCCCTGCAGTGGCACCCACTCCTCATGCTGGGTCACTGGGCTCTTCATACTTGACCTTGACCATCGCTTCCCCTGTGTCCCACCGTTCCTCCATTTTACGAGGTCGGGCGATTAAGTTCGCAAACTCATCCTAGAAAAAGTACTACTTGCCTCACTGCTGAATATCACTACTGTCATCTTTGAAGCACTCCCCTTGGGAAGCTATGCACTGACATCAGTGCCTAGTTCACCCTTCAAAGCAATTTTGGAACTCTTTTTCTGGAATGGCCATCAGAGATGTCATCGTATTACCCTTGATGTCCTGAATGTCATCAAAATGTCTTCCTTTCAATATTTCCTTTATCTTCGGGTAAAGAAAGAAGTCATTGGGGCCAGATTCGGGTGAGTAGGGAGGGTGTTCCAATAAAGTTATTGGTTTACTGGCTAAAAACTCCCTCACAGACAGTGCCGTGTGAGCTGGTGCATTGTCGTGATGCAAAAGCCATGAATTGCTGGCAAAAAGTTCAGGTCATCTAACTTTTTCACACAGCCTTTTCAGCATTTCCAAATAGTAAACTTGGTTAACTGTTTGTCCAGTTGGTACAAATTCATAATGAATAATCCCTCTGATTTCCAAAAACAGTTAGCAACATCATTGCAACAAGTTCATGAACTTAATTGTCAGACCTCATATAGGCTCTTGGACCAAGAAGCGTCATGGGGGATATGTTCGTCTTCCACTACATGGCCAGCACTGATGGCAGGGACTGTGATTTTCATTACTGTTGTCCAGGAATAAAGCACAAACTGGGTACCAATGAATATCTGAAGAATTGGATTTTGCTATTTGCTACTGAGATTGTTTCATTCTCTAGGCTGTGTAGTGAAAGTGAATGAGGGAGAAAAATCAAAACAGCAGCAGTAAGGGTCAGCACAACAGCCATGTATTAGGGAAAAGCCTTGACAAGCCTCAGACAGAGATGGGGGGGCCGGGGGGAGGCTGCCATTGGAACAAAAGTTTCATGGCTGATGTTGCTTTGATAATTACCATGTCTTAAATGTAACAGATTCAATCTTTTAGAAATAGAGTACCAGTTTTTTTTAGAAACAAATTTTATTTTTTAGAATAATTTTAGAGTTACTGAGAAATTGCAAAATAATACAAAGCATTTCCAAATACACCACACTTCTATCAATAGCTTACATTACTACAGTATATTTGTTATAATTAATGAATCAATATTGATACATTATTTTTATTATTAAAATAAATTATTATTACCATTAAATAAAGTACATGCTTTATTTAAGTTTCCATCTCTCTTTTTTTTTTTTTTTTTAAGCTGAGCCATCCTGCTACCTGTTGGCAGCTCAGCGGCTGCGACTCGAACCGCTGTTGTTCAGAGCTCAAACTCTTGAGCAAGCTCTTAACCAACTGAGCCACTCAGCCAGCCCTATTTAAGTTTCCTTAGTTTTTACCTAGTGTGCTTTTTTCTCCCCAGGGTCCCATCCAGGACGCCACATTACATTTAGTTGTCATGACTTCAGTTCTTCTTGGCTGTGGCAGTTTCTAAGCTTGTCCTGGTTTTTTAAGACCTTGACTCTTTTGAGGAGTATTGGTCAGACACCTTGTAGAATGTCCCTCAGTTGATATTTATCTGATCTTTATCTCAGGATTAGACTGAAGTTAGAGTTTTTTTGAGGGGAGACCACAGAAGTGTGATTTTTATCACATCATATTAAGGGTACATACTATCTGCCTGATGTAACACTGTTGATGTTGGCCTTGGTCACCAGGCCAACATTGTGTTAGTTGAAAACATGTTAGTTTTCTCCACTGCAAAGTCATCCTTTTATTTCTCCCTTCTTGTACTCTTGGGGAGGAAGTCACGATATGCAGCCCACATTTAAAGATGGGAAGTTTTGCTCCACCTCCTTGAGGACAAAGTATCTACATAATTTGGAATTCTTTTGCATGTGAGGTTAGTTTCCTCTCTCCCATTGATTTATTTATTCCACCATTTATTTGTATCAGTATAGATTCATGGATACCTATTTTATACTTTGGGTTGTAATCCAATATGCCTTTATTAATTCTGTTGCTCAAATTGTTCCAGCATTGGCCACGGGGAGCTCTTTCAATTGACTCCTATGTCCCATCTTTGTGGTTTATTTTGTTTTTAGCAGCTCCTTACTTTCTGGCTCTATAAGATGCTCTAGGGTCATCTTGTATATTTCCTGCCCCAGTCCTAGAATCAGCCATTTCCCCCAAGGAGCCTGGATCTCTTTGATTGGAGAATTGTATTAGAAACCAAGATCTGGGTGTTAGGTGTGTTCATTGATTCTGGAGGTCTCATTGCTTCTAGGCTCTCTCTACTGTCTGCATAAAAGATACATGTGTCTATACCAACCTGTGTATAAACATATACCTTATATATACATGTATCTTATGTATACACATATATTTTAGAATATTTCTCTCTATATATACTATATATAAGGCACTAGTTTTAACAACAAAGTCATTAGCCCTCAGTGGACAAAACTTTCTCTGACACAATAGGATATTTAATCTGAAAAGTAGAATTTTACTTCAAATCAAAAGAATAGATGGCCTTTGGGGATGTTTTGGTCTGATTTACATATAGGATTTTTTTAAAAATTAGTTTTGTTCTAATCCTTTCCCTCCCCCCATGTTTCTGTTTCTCAGAAGTAGCTTGTTAAGTTTTATTCATTTCCTGGTGGGTGGTTAGAAAGTTGGCTGAATTTGACTAGAACCACACCTGTAGCCACTTGTCTCCCTGGCTGATACATTTACTTGAGCAGCTAATGGAGTTAGAGCTGGGTGAGAGTGTTCTGCCTTAGGAATTTGCCCTGGGGCTACTGATACTGGGCACATAATGTAGCACCTACACGAGATGGGCCTTCTCTTTGTCCCCTCTGCAGGGAAGTAGAAGGGTCCTTGTGTTGGGGGAAGGTGGTCTGCCCCACCCCTTTTCAAGATCACACCTCCTCACCAAAACCCACTAGGAGGAGTCAGGGAAAGATCACTAAGGTACAATTCCACACCGAGCTGCCTGCATTGCACTCAGCCCACTCTGCCACGTATCTGCCCACTTATTCAACAAGCATGGGTTGGACACCAGACATAGGCCAGGCACAGGGACACAGAGATGGGTGAGGCTCCCAGTGTAATAAGCAAGACCAACATTAAAAATAAATAAGTGGAAAACAGTGTGGTGTGTGTCAGATTAGAGAAAAGGCTCTTAGCCTGGGTCCATAGATGGACTTCAGGGTGTTCCCTAAAGTTAATTATAAAAATTTATACATGCTGAATATTTCATTTCCCGCCCCACTCCCCACCCCCTACACCTTCTCTACCCTGCTCTGTGTCCCAGGAAGCTGACCTGCACAGACTCTGTCAGATGAACTCACGTGCCTATGGGCTTTTAATTGGCTTTGACCAATGGGAAGCACCATCAGGAAATTTGAGAGAAGGAGACAGAAAAGTAGGGGTATATGATATATTTCTCCACCAGTGGTTGCCTTCCTTTTCCAAGGCCACAGCCCTTACTCACAGGTAGAGCGCTGCTTGGGTCCCCTTTGTCTTTCAGGATTAGAAGTGGTAACTCTTCCATTTCTTGCTAGACCCACAGTGCTTCCCCATCCCTCTCAGGTTCCATAAATCCTGCCCATATCTTTGTATAAAGTGCCTTTCATCACTTTGAGTGTATACAAACCCAAATGTAGGTGAATCAGATTCTCCAAAGGGTCCATGACTCAAAAGGGGTAAAAAAGCTATTACGTTGGAAATACATACAAGGTGACGTGGAAGGTGTGCTATACATAGCTCCACTGGCTTCACAGAAGGGTGATCCTCTCAAAGTGCAAATCCAATCAAGTTATTACCCGGCTTAAATTTTGCAGTGGTTTCCTACTGCTCTTAGAATAAAGGCCAAACTCCTTAATATGGCCCACAAAGCCCCACCTCGTCTGCCCCTCTCTAATCTCACCCCAAAACTCTTCATGTTTCCCCTCTGTACTCCAGCCACCCTGACCCTTGGGTTCTGCACTTGTGTCAGGCTCACTCCAGCCTTGTGGTCTCCATATGCTGTTCCTTTTGTCTGGAAAGGATCTCCTATCTTCTCTACTCATTCTCCAGACCTTGGTTCAAATGACCCCCAGTCCAGGTCAAGTTCCTTTGTCACATGTCAGGTAGGACCCTGAATCCCAACTCCAGAGCACTTATCTCAGCTTGGAACACATTTTTGCATTTTGTGCCTGACATTTATTAATATCAGCCTCTCCCACTAAACTGTAAGTTCAATGAGGGATGGAGCCATGTCTATTTCTGTTCATTGTTGTGACCTCAGCACAGTACATGATACATCAGAGATGGTCATAAGGGTTTGTAGAGAAATGAATGACTGAAGGTGATATGTGAGTCAGACCATGAAAGGTCAGTTTGCCAGGAGTCTAAGAGGCCACCTGAGGGCTCAAGAAGTGGTTAACCTGCTCAGTATATTCTATCTGGATTTCCTGGGGCAATAAGCAACCCCCCCCCAACATATCCTCCCCAACCACAGGATCAAAATAACCCAATAACATTACCTTCACTTCGAGGGTGAGCATCAACCCAAATTGGTTGTAAAATTCCTTGGGGCTGGGCAACTGGTACTCCTTGGCTGTGCCCAGGAATGCCTCGATGTCATTCAAGGCAACGTCAACCCCCTCTCGTGACTGGCACTTGTCTACAGCTTGGGAAGCCAAGAGGTAGATTCCCGCTTCACACCACTGGCTGACCTTTGGAAAAGAAACACAGTACTTGTGCAATTAGCCTGACCACAACTCAGCCACCACGGTCCTCAGGCGGTCTGAGCTCATTCGGGATCTACAGGACTCTGGGACAATGGGGAATTGTTGTGGGACAGCATCAAGGTTAGAAGTCTAACCGCTGTAAATACAACAATGAGATGGACAAACCGAAGCCAATTTTACTCTGTCTGCATCTCAGGGCAGTCACCCAGTCAGTAAAAGGAATTGTGTAAACATGCTTCTCTTTTCTGCTGACAGTTAATTGCTACACCTCCAGGAGGGGTGAGTTAAGTATTTCTAAGTTTGGTTTAACTAGATGGTTGTTGGAAAAGTCATGACGCATTTTTGCAATGAAAAACATAGAAAAATACATCATGACTTTTCCGACAGCCTAATATATAGGAATGTAACCAATGACGTTTCAGGTGGACCTTCTAGGGCATGTTTCTTGCGTCCTCATTGGTTACAAGAGCACAGGGTGATTAATGAGCCATTAGATCTGGCCCCTCCAAGCTTTCCTGGGGGAGGGATTGCCTTTTCAACAGAAACACCACTTTCCTCTGCCCACATTTGCACTTATTGTAATTTGTCTTTCTCAGGGAAGCATCCAAGAATGCAAAGCTCTGAAACTCAGAAAAAACGACACTCAGACTTTCTGAGAATGCTAGGATGAAATCAGATAGGGGATGAATTCTAACAGCTCAACTTTTTTTTTTAACAGCTCAACTTTTAAAAGATGTAAATAGAAAGACAGGGGGCCTTGTGCTGCCTGAATATTTATAAGGAAAGAAGCTGCCAGTGCAAACACATCTGTCTCCATTGACCATGGGACCTGAAGAGCTATGTAAACTAACCATACAGGGGAGAAGATCCAAAGGGAGCGCCCAAAGGCGTTATCACTAAGTGGGAAACTACAGGCAACTTACATTTGTCTTCATTTCCCCCTAAAGTATCTACATGGAACGTGTACTACTTTTAGAATAACAGAAAACAATAAAGACATTTAAAAATTAATGATTACCACTGTGTGAGGATGAGGAGGGGAGTGGGATGTGTAGGCGTCCACGAGTAACTTTTTAAATACTCTTTTCTACAGTTTTAGATTTTTCAAAATAATATGAACACATGCTTTGCTATACACTGAAAACTTTCTCTTGAAAACTCATGCCTAGATTGACAGAACACATTACGCTGGGTCTTCTGCAGAGTCACAGCAGCTCTTTGCACACACACACACACACACACACACACACACACACACCACCGTGTTAGGCTATTCTCTCTGGAGCAGAAACAGGAGTGAGGAAAATAGTCGCTGAACTTGCAAAGAGCTCAGCACACAGAGCAGGCTGTGTGCCAGGTCCTTCTGAGCCACAGGCATACGGAACAGCTGTATTTCATTGACATTAAAAGCCTTTTGGCAACGGGATGTGATAAAAAGCCTGGGCGGTTGCCCCCAGCCGTCAGGGAGAAAGAGCTGTGAAGAATGGAAGGAGCTGACTCATGGCCATGAGACACATGCTGCCTGGAAACAGCTGACAGGGAAGGCTCCAGAAGTCAACTGCCTCTGCTACCTGGGCGCTTGCCCCGCAGATCACTGCGGAGCGCACCAGGGGCTGCGCTCCCTGCTGTGAGCCTTCCTCACACAGTGTTGCTGTTCCGTCTAAGGAGCCTGGGGTTTGGAATTTGGCAGCCCTGGCTTCAAATCTGCAATCCTCTGTCCCATGTGCGGTCTTGGGCAATCACTTATCCCAGGGATTCTCAGCATTGTCCCGGTACCACCTGCACCAGTCACGTGGGCATTTGATGAAAATACCAATTTCTGGGCCTCATCCCAGACTTACTGAATCTGAGTCTCCACAGTGGTACATCAGGAAGCCTGCAGTACAGCAGGTTCGCCACGGTAGTCCCACGCGCTACATGTTACGACTTAACCACGCTGAGCATCAATTCCTGCCTCTGTAAAATGAGGTCAGTAATACCTTCCTCATAGCTTGTCTTGAGGATTCAATAGGTGACATAATTATGCTCCTGGTAGGACCACAGTAGGTGCTCAATAAAGGGTAGGAGTGTATAATGGTCATTATTGCTGAAGGCTTCTCCAAAAGGATTCACAATCTGATGCATATATGCGGAGCAGCACTTTGCAAATATAATGCTTGGCTCTCTGTATGCCAGAAGGGGAATCCAGAAATGTCCTACAGGACCAGGCCAAAACACACTCTCTACATATGGGTCCACACAGAGGGAAACGGGCTTCCGTTCACTCTAATACGATACGGTAGTGTGGCTGAGGCACTTTAGACCTTCAATACCTCTGTGACCTGGAATCTGCCCACTTTTCAACACCTCTTGAGCACAGTTTCACATGAAGTTCTTTGTGTGTATGGGGGAAGACAAGTAGGATGAAGACTGCTTTACAGAGAATTTTGCAGACATCATGATCACAGCTTTGCTCTGCTCACCTTGTCCAGCTGTCTATGCAACTCCAAAGATTTTCCTAAGATGTCATGTTTTCTCTTGTTTTCATTGATGAAGTTATCGCAGAGGTGCCTGAGCTCCGCACACTTGGGTCTGATGGAGGCCACTGCATAGTGGTGGCTTTGGGTGAGCTGGTCCCCCATCATTGCAAGCAGCTGGGCTTTTTCCAAGGGCTCCTGCAGAATGAACATGCCCAGCCAAGCATCAGGTGCCAGGTCACAGTGAGGCCGATATCTGCCTGGCACTGTGTGCTCTAGTCCTAGAGGGAGTCTAGCAAGATGCTGATTCAGGTCTTAGGCTCAGTGTCTGGAGCTGGGGAGCCTGGGAAAGCTCTGCCTTTCCTAAGGAATCTAGCCTAGCTCAGGGTCATCTGCACTCTGAAGAAGAGCAGGTCAGGCATTCAGATGTTTGTTGAGTTCTGGGGTAGGCACTGAGGAGATAGCGTTAACAAGCCAGGGAATTTTCAGTCTAATGGAGAACTCAGATATTAAATAAATTATACAAATAATGAAAATATTACAACTGTGCTAAGTTCAAGGGCAGAAGAGCATAAAGTGTTATCCTGCACAGAATTGGAAACTGAATTCCCCTGTCAACTCATGGAAAAGGAAAAAGGACAGGCACGTGGCCCCCATGCACCCCGTGGGACTCCACAGGGACAGGACTCTTGGAAGCTTGCACCCAGTTTCCTCCAGAGTTCGCCCGTTGCACCTTTCTCTCTGCTGATTTTGCTTGGTATCCTTTTGCTATAATACGTCATAACCATGAGTATAATTATATGCTGAGTCCTATGAGTCCTCCTAGCAAAGCTTCAAACCTGGGTGTGATTGGGGAATCCTTGACACAGGAGCCAAGACCTGAAGTGAGGGAAAAGCCACGCAGTAGTTGGCCGAGAGGTTGGGGGGACATGTTGGACGAGTTCAGATAGCCGGGGAAGCCACTGTGGCTGGAGCAGTGGGGTAAGGACAGGAGCAGGAGATGCAATCGGAGAGGAGAGAGGGGCCCGACTGGGGAGGGCCTTGCTGCCAGTGTGTCACTGTGGCTTTTACTCAGTGGCATGGGAAGGCTGGAGGATCTCATTCCTAAAAGGATTGCTGCAGCTTGACAGACAAGAGGCAAAGCAGGGAGACCAGGTAGGTGGCCGCTGCCGTCATCCAGGGGAAAGGCATGGCTTAAACATGACTGGCAACCCAACTAGCTCCTGTCTCATCACCTTCCCTGAGATGCTCCTCCCACGGCCACCCAGGCCTAAGCTCTCGTTCTCTCCTGGCAGGCCCTTCACCCACTGCTCTATCTAAAGCCTCTCCCCGCAGCCCACCCACCCAGGCCCTCTTCCTCACTTTGTTTTCATTTTCTAACAGCACTTACCTCTACCTGAAAGTATCTTTGCTTACTTTAACGTCTGATTTTTCCTTCCTCTGCCCGCCCCCACCAATATGTAAGATCCATGACAAACTTAGTAGGCATCCCATAAATATTTGATCAATAAAATGAGTGAATGAATGAGTGAACGAACTAGTGAATCAGATGATGAAGTCATCTGCTTGGCTGGAATTGTGTGAAACATCAACCTGTGAGTTACACAGATGACTGACACATTCCCCAAAGTCTCCAGGAGCAGGGAGCTCACATGCACCCTCGCTGACCACACTGAGCATCCAGCGCACCACACCTGTCCTGGTTTAACCTTTTACAGTAACACAAGGCATCATGATGACTCCAGGTGATGACAACCGGCCCCTCACTTAAGGTACACTGGTTGTGATTTCAACCATCTCAAAACCCCTGCCCCCCAACCAGCGAGTCATTCACCAAGCCCTGCAGAGCCCGCATCCTTCTTAATTAATACCTTCTGAATTCTGAGCCCTTCTCCACCACTTCCTTGTCACTATCCCTTCAGGCCTTCATGCTTTCTGACTGGGAGCTGGCCTCTCTGCGCTCCCTCAGGCTGTCCTCTAAATCACGCTCCCTATTGCTGCAAAGCAGCAATTCCATTACAAAGCTTATCGCGTCCACATCACTCCCAAACCCCAAGCCCTTGCTTGTCTTCCTACAGTCTTCAGGAGAAACTTCAAACTCCTGAGCAGTGCACAGAAAACCTTTCATATCAGGCTCAGACCTGGCCACCTCTCTCTCCACTTCTGTCACCCCATCCTCTGCTGTAAACAGATGAATGACCATTTGTGCTTCCCCAAATATTCAGGCAGCGTCAGGCCTCCACGCCTTGTCTACTTGCTCTCTCAGTAGCAAGAGCACCGCATCCTTCCATTATCACCCTTGCCCCCCCACCTCTCCACCCCCCACCTCCTGATGCACACTCATTCCTCTGGAGCTAACTCTAAATCAGCCTTCAGAGCTCTTCTCCAGGACACGTTCTCTAACTCCACCATTTTATTCTGATGCCCCTGCTCTGTGCTCCCCAAACACTCTGTGCCTTTCTTGACCAGAGCACATACGTCACCGTATTGTGATAACTTATCTACTGCCCTCACTATGCCACAGACCCTTGCAGGCACACACTAGCTCTATTCAACTTAAAACAGTACGTAGCACACATTAGGTACTCAAGAATAAATGATTGTTGTGCAAAACAAAAAAGAGTAATGATATGGGAATAAAGTAACACCAATCAAGCAGTGGCTGTTTAAAAGAACTCAGGGATAAAAACCCAGTGCACTCACTCTGAACAGCAAAGGCTTAGATACACCGGTCACCATGTTTGAAAGGAAGTTAGAATGTTAATTCCTCAGGCTGTGATTTTTAACTGTGTTGCTCATTGCTGTGTCCTCAGAACTTATACCAGTGCTTGGCATGGTAGGAGATCAGTTAATATTTGCAGAATGAATGAAGAATGAATGAGGGGCAGCGGTTAGCTCAGTTGGTTAGAGCGCAGTGCTCACAACACCAAGGTTGCCGGTTTGATCCCTGCATGGGCCAATGCATCCTTCACAAATAGATGGAAACAACTACTTGACTTGGAGCTGATGGGTCCTGGAAATACACACCATTCCCCAATAAAACAAAAGAGAAAGAAAGAAAGGAAGAAAGGAAGGAAGGAAGGAAGGAAGGAAGGAAGGAAGGAAGAAAGAAAGAAAGAAAGAAAGAAAGAAAGGAAGGAAGGAAGGAAGGAAGAAAGAAAGAAAGAAAGAAAGAAAGAAAGAAAGAAAGAAAGAAAGAAAGAAAGAAAGAAAGAAAGAAAGAAAGAAAGAAAGAAAGGAAGGAAGAAAGGAAGGAAGAAAAGAAAGAAAAGTTCTTACTAGAACAGCTCAGCCACTGAAGAGTGAATATAGGAGACATTCTGCAGCACAGAATTGACCCCACGACTTCTGTGATGTTAATGACAAGAGCTAACACTCACAGGAGAGTTTACTATATGCCAGGCACAATTCTGAATGCTTACACTGATTGTTTCTTTTTCTTTTTCTTTTTTTTTTTTTTCATGAGTCAAATACAGACTCATGAAAACTTGACAAGAAAGTATCTGTTGACTTTTATTTTTTTAAGTCTAGCTGGTTACTGAATTTATTAATAATGGCACAGGTTTTCTGGGTCCAAGGAACTTGACCACAGGATATTTCCCAGGTGCTCTATGGTGATCACAGTTTGCCTCTCACTTGGCATGTGGCATCTCACCTTTCAAAATTGTTCTTAAAACATTTGAGATGTTAGAGAAAAGATGTAACAGGTCCACATGGATCTTGGGGAGAGATCCATGAATATAACATGGGAGCCATGACTGGAGGCTGGAACATCACTCTACTGAAATGAATGGATAATAACAGCTTCTGAGTTCTGACCACCTACTATGTTCCAGGCACTCACTAAGTCCTTACTATACCTTTAAACTCATTTCATCTTCACAGGAACTCTGAGGGGGTAGAAACCATCAGGTTGTCGGAAAAGTCATGACACATGTTTGCGACAGATGGCACTAGTTCATTTTTGGAAGTACTAGAGTCATTCACATCTATGTTATTGCTATGTCATTTGACAGCTGACAGTTCTAGCTTCATTCTAAAAAAAAATCGAGTGATTTGGTTGAGTTTTGGAGATTTTACAACAAGTTGAAGATGGAAGACCAAACTGTGCATTTTTGCCATATTTTACTGTTTTTCTTCCATAAAGGGAAGAACGCGTGTCTAGCTTGTGAAAAGTTGCATAAAGTTTATGGTGACAATGCTCTACAAGAACGTCCGTACCAACCATGGTTCACGAAATTCCGTGCTGGTGATTTTGATCTCAATGACGCTCCTCGGTCAGGGAGGCCCACTGAGGTTGATGACAATAAAAAATAAAGGCATTGATCGAGTCAAACCCATGCTACACGACATGAGAGATTGCAGGAACATTGAACATCCACCATTCAAGCATTCACGACCACCTGAAGAAGCTGGGATATGTAAGCAAGCTCGATATTTGGGTTCCGCGTGAACTCAAAGAAGCTCATTTGATGGCGTATATAAACATCTGCAATACGCTCATTAAACGTGAGAAAATGATCCTTTTTTGAAGTGACTGATAACTGGTGATGAGAAGTGGACTGTTTACAACAATGTGGTGCGCCAATGGTCTTGGTCCCAACGTGATGATTCGCCTCAAACGACATTGAAAGCAGACATTCATCAGAGGAAGGTTATGCTGTCAGTATGGTGGAATTTTAAAGGTGTCATATTTTTCAAGCTCCTAGGAAGGAACCAAACAATCAATTCAAATGTGTACTGTCGGCAATTGGACAGGTTGAACGAATCCATCATCCATAAATGTCCAGAGCTTGTTAATTGTAAAAGAGTTGTGTTCCATCACGACAAAGTGAGACCACACACAAGTTTGATCACCTGTCAAAAATTATTGGAGCTTGGATGAGATGTGTTGCCACACCCACCATACTCGCCTGACCTTGCACAGTCAGACTTCCACTTGTTTTGTTCTCTTCAAAACTCCTTGTGTGGTATAATGTTCAATTCAGATGAGGCTGTAAATCAGCACCTTATTCAGTTTTTCACAAATAAAGATAGGTCCTTCTATGAATAAGGAATTATGAAGCTCACTGAAAGATGGCAAAAGGTTATCGAACAAAACGGGCAATATATCATTGATTGATCTTTGTTCTTTATATAAATAAATGACCTTTGAAAAACATAGACAAAATACGTCATGGCTTTTCCGACAACCCAATATTATTATCCATTTTACAGATGAGGGGGTATGTTCAGAGAGGCTAAGAAAGTTGACTAGCATTACACAGCTGATAGTTGTTAGAGTTGAGATTTGAATCCAGTTCTGTCTGACTCCAAAGCCTGCCTCTTGTCACCTTCCAGCCCACTTGGCCTCCCCGCATGTGCTATGAATGATGGTTGCACAACCGCTACTATCAAATCCTTCAAAGAACTTTACTGTAAAATCTCCGAACCACAGCTTAGTTTTTAGTCTATACAGTTTCTGCTCATGATAAATAATCAATAAAACCTATGTGAAAAAAAAAAGAGAAAGAAATGGCTGAAATCTGGTGCTCTGATTACAAGCCTTTCAGATGCTAAAAATTCCAGAGGTTGGATAGTCAAATTATGACATGTAATTCAGAATTCTTTATTGTAATAACAGCTTATTTTTTCCTCAAGGACTCTACTGCTATTACAGGTGAAAGATGAGACTGTCTACTGTGGAAGAAAACGGGGGAAAACAGTGATGCTGCTATATCAGGGAGTCCAGAATGAACCCACAGATAATGGCAAAGGATGGAATGTATGTATGGGGAAGTGGGTGAAACAAGAAAAGCAGAAAGTTAATGGCTATTGAAAGTGAGCAATAGATACATGGGTGTTCGTTGCTAGTCAGTCCACTTACGCATGTGCTGGAAAATTTCCACTTAAAAACAAACACAAAAACAGGGCGGCCAGGTGGCTCAGTTGGTTAGAGCACGTGCTCTGAACAACAAGGTCGCCAGTTCGATTCCCACATGAGATGGTGGCTGTGTCCTGCCCCCCCACTCCTCCCTCCTGCAACTAGATTGAAAACAACAACTGAACTTGGAGCTGAGCTGCACCCTCCACAACTAAGATTGAAACAACAACTTGTCTTGGAGCTCATGGGTCCTGGAAAAACACACTGTTCCCCAATAAAATTTATTTAAAAAATAGCCAGGCCCCTGTAGCTAGATTATGGCCCTGGGAGGTTAATGACCTGGGTTCCATGTCTTTTGGACACAGTAGTCTAACTGTTGGCTCCTGGTCTTGAGGGGAGAGATCAAGGCTGAAATTGGGTTGGTTCTCCCTGCCCTGTCCTGGTTTGTTCCCTGCTGGCTCATCACTGAAGGCCCCAGCATGCTTCACAGCCAAAAATCCTAAAGCAAATTCTGCTTTTAGAAGCAAGAGTAGGGGCTGAAACCATTGTTTCTCAGAATTAGAAATGAGCACTTAGAAGATGCTAAAGGCTCAAACTAGAACAAGATAAAAGAATAAGCTCAATTAACATGCAACAGAAAATCTGGTTAGTGAGTTGGTTCAGGGGTTATCCACAACGATCGCTGCACAGAATAATGAAGTTGGCAACAAACCAGAAATCAGTGTGTGGCTACGCCAGACACCTGAGTGAGGGGTGAAGGACAAACCCTAAGCAAGTTTTGGTGGATTCTAGCCAGACATCACCTTGTTCCTTTAATACTTTACAGGACAAACTGAAAGACTAGCCAAGCCCTTATCATCTGAAGAAATAATACCGCTTAGAAATATGAGCAAAGATAAGTTTAAAAAGTCCTGGTTATGATAGGATAGCTTTGCTCAGTTTGCCCAAAGGAGAGGAATAGGTCTACTGCATCCTTTAGAAAATAAGTAATAAAACAGGGTAAGCAAGGCACAGAATAGGTAAAACCAACCTGCCTGGGCTCTGTGGGTCATCTGCAGTGGATTAGTCCAGCTGGTTCAGGAACTTTGCCCATGAAAGATGGGTATTGGGTTCACAGAGCATTCCTATGTCCCATGATCACAGGTTGAGTCCCTAGCTTCAGTTAGCAATCTTTAAAGTATGTGCCAAGGGTCACAAGCCCAAGGAGGTGAGCAGAAGAGAGAATGTGGGTGCAGTCATGCAGATCCAGCCCCACTATTTAAAACAGAACTCAGAGCACCCTACAATGGCATCCTGTTCCACTGAGAAGAAAATCCAGCCCTCACCACCATTGTTCCCACCTGGTTCCTACATGGCTCACTGGGCTCCAGCTATAGTCCTTGAACTCATCAACCTCATTCCTGCCTCAAGACCTGTCATTTGCAGCTTCTCTGTCTTGAGTGCTATTCCCCAAATCTCTGCATGGCTATCCAGGTCTTAGAGCAAAGGTCACCTTCCTAGAGAGGCCTTTCCTGACTATCCTAGCTGAAGTAGCACTCTGCAGTCACTTTCTACGATATGCTGTTATTTTCTTCATACCACGTATTACCACCTGATGTTATGGTTTATTTGATTACCTTTTACTTATCTATCTCTCCCCAGTAAAATGTAAGCTCCATGAGAGCAGAGTCTTGACTGTCTGGTTTGGCACCATATCCATGGAACCTAGGGCAAGGAATACCTGATGATGAATGAACGCCTTCCTGGTAAGTCATACATATATATGACATGACCATATTTTTCAAACCAAAAATAAAGACACTGAGCTTGATGAGGCATTTTTCCCTAATATATGAATGTATATAAGTGAAAATACATAGTATCTGCATTTAATAAGTTCTCTTGAAAAAAAACCCTAAAACTACATAAAATTGGGACTATCTTGGAGAATCTAAGACATATAAGATACATTCAATTTTTTCATTGTTTGACAAACATTTCTGATGACTTGTGCCTTCAGCACCAAAGTGTTTAGCTGTCAATGATCACTGATATCAGAAGGAATACTCACTAGGGAAGGATGGGATTCCTGAGTGATTGACCATGTACTGGTGGGTCCTTGTGTTCACACATGTGCAGAAACACCTCCAGCTTAGAATCTACAACTGACAGCTGTTACAGCCAGAGTGGCTTTAGTTTACATTTGTTACTATTCTTTAGGGGGATATGTCTCTAACTATAATGTACATGTCAATCACCTGAGGATCTTATTAAAATACAGATTCTGATTCTGAGGCAGGGCCAGAAAGTCCATATTTCTAAGTTCTCACTCAGATAACATCTATGCTGTTAACCATAACCTTGAAAAGTGTGATTACTACTTAGGAAACATGCCTCTCTCTAGATTAGCTCAGAAAGGAAGGGCTAACCATAGAGTACTTGGTCCCCAAGAGACAAAAATATAGAGAACCTAATTAAAGAAAAGCAGAAAGAAACTTCTTTGGAAAGAGACTGAGCTTTCTTAACTGGTAATAAGCCAAATTTATAAGGACTTAAAATAGAATCACTACTAAGTGCTGACCTGTGTGCAGATCTGGAAAACTATGTAATTCTCGTATGAGAATTGTGAAACATGTATTCTTTTACAAGTTTGATATTTACAACTCTTGGGGCGTGAGAATAGAGAAAGCATTGCCAACTCTGAGTATTGCCAACAGAACCCAATTCCCCTTTTTCACCATCTTGCTTCTTATAAAACTTTTTTTTTTCTGGTTCCCCTTTTGAAGTTTCCTGTCCTTACAACCAACCTACACTCCATGACTCCATATCCAGTCCAGTGGGTAATGTGGCCATTGTGGCCTTTCCTCCTGCTGTTCCCCCACTCGTGCTGCCACCCCGAGACCTCTCATCTCACCTGAACCTCCAGCATCAACCAGGTGCTCTGGAAGCCTTAACAGAACTCTGCACTACAGGCATTATTCATCATAGCTGCTAATGTGCACATCACCTTAGGGACCTGGGGTGGGATTGGGGTGACTGAAAGGACAGGATTTGGGCATTCCTGTGTCCTTTGGCAACTTTCCAACAATGAATGAGCATGATCTGTCACTGTCCACAGCCACTCCCTTCCCAGTCCACAAAAAAACAGCAAAAAACCCCAAAAACAAACCTGGCCTTTTCCTTCCAGTTTTTTGTGTTCCTTAAGAAGTTGTTCCACACACATCACACTGTCTCCAATGTCTGTGAACTCTGCTTGTTCTGCCAACAAGTTGTCCAGGGCAAGCTTAATCTACAAAACACATTAGCACAGTCCAGAAATCAGCCAATGAGCACCCATCTGGAGGCAGAGGTTTGCTATACTCTAAGAAAACTTGAAAAGCATGAGAGGATTCAGGACAAATGTATATATATATATATATATATATATATTACAGCTCATTAGCTTTTACAGTAAGCTGGGGATGGGTGGGTGCTGAGACACATGTATATGGAATATTAAAGCTACATTTTGACAGTTATCAATCAAAAAGGAAGATAAACCATTACTGAAATGCCACATATGCCAACAGGAAAATGGGATTCTAGAACATTGCTACCCCACTGAAAAAGTGAGAAGAAGATGTCTGTGAGGAAGCAAGGATTTAAGGAGGGGGCTAGATTAGGAAGAGGAGGGAAGCCCAGAGTTCAAGGTGGAAAAGAGAACTGGAAGTCACTGAATCATAAAAAGAAATTCTATTAAACAAGAAAATAACACCTCACAAAAGTTGTACTCAAAGTGCTGTAGTTGGAGGTATTGGTTAAGCTTCAGGTGGTGCTTGGACCAAAACTGACTAAAGGCTTTTTTGGTTTCATCCAGTTGACCTAGTAACCTGTCAAGAAAGAAAGAGGAAGTGACATTAATATTCATTTCCACAGGAGTCTGTATAGACTTATTTAAGTAACATCAAATGTTTTGAGTCACTGTTATAAATTGTGGTGATGGCCTTACTATGAAAGTCTGTGTCACCTACGACTTTCTCATGGTTTGACTGATTCTCATGTTTTCTGTTTTTCAATCAGGACACCCTCAGTGCTAGGCAGAAATGTCACTTCAGCTGCAGCTGCTGTGCTTTAAAACACACCCCTGGTAACCTTACCTTTGCGTCATTTCTTTGACAAGTGTGTAAAGCACAGCACCCAGCCAAACTGTTATTTGGAAATGAAACTCAACCAATACTGCCATCTCCCCTGAAATCCTGGGGTGACACCATCTCATAAGAGGAGGGAATGGCATTCTCATAGAAACATCTCTGTAGCTGAATGTCAGATGAGTACCATCTTTTTTCCTTTGTTGTTTCAAATATTATTCTTTCTTTACCCTACCAAGACCCAATAGTTGCTATTCTAATCTGTCCTTGGTTGTTTCAGATCATCTAATTCTGTTCTCTCCTTAATAAAAGCATATTCCACCTTCACTCACCTTTCCATGGTAGCTACATTCTCAAGTTCATTGGGATTGAGTTTACTGGTGGAATTTTTGGTTGCTGGTTCTTGAATGCATGACAATAATGTGGCCCCTTGCTTTCCAAGTAATTTCAGCTCATCCTAGAGAAAGAAAAATATAGTCCCTCTTATAAGGAATTAATGAAAGAAAATTCTTGGTAGATTTGGGGTAAGGAGAATAGTAGATCAGTATATCTTTCATTTAGGAATTTAAATGCTAAAAAAAGTCAAGCTGCAGATTTATAAAATTAGTTAACTTATTCTTTTTTTTTTTAGATTTTTTTTTAATTGGGGAATTGGGGGGATGGGAACAGTGCTGGGGAATTGGGGGAAGGGGAACAGACAAGTTGCTGTCGTT